GCCCAGTGAGACAGAAGCAAACCATTCTTCCTTTCTCAGCTGTCTGTAGGCCTACTGTTTGCTCTGGCTTTGCTGAAAGACCTTCCAGGCAGACAGGAAAGTTACAAACATTGATGCCCTCTATGACAGACTGAATAATAGCCCTACAAAAACACCAGGTACTAGTTCCTGGAGCCTGCAAGTGTTATCTTGCAAGTCAAAAGACATTTTGTCCATATGCTCTAGTGAAGGATCCTGAGATGGAGAGATGACCCTGGGTTATCTTGATAGGCCTAGATATCTTCAAGGGTTGAAAGAGGGAGACTGAAGGCTGAAGAGAGGTGTAGAATGCTGTCATCCAAGTATAACAGCCATCATCTCCATCGGAGCAGCCATGACTGCTTGCAAGGGACTCTCAAGATGGGATCTGCTGACTATTAATGTTCCTTCATAGAAGGAGGGAGTGGGGAGAGTCATTGGCTCCTCATCTAAGATTCTTATCATTTCTTCCTGTGCCTCCCAGCCCACTGTTTGTAATTCAGCCCTAATTGCATGTGACCTTGTGGCCTCCAGAGTGTTAGTCTATAGACTGGAAAGTTAACTGAAGGAGGGACTCTGTCTCTGTAGTGATGGGGAAATCATCACTCATGCTGGGATGAGATTTTTCAGTCCTGTGGCTGTTCTGGGGTCACCCAGGCTCCTGCATTCAACCCTTGCTCTCTAAGGAAGTCCAATAAACTCATTGACTCCCCCCCAGCTGGACTTTGGTGGAATATTGTTTGTGACCCATAAGAAGTTGGTAGACCTTTATTTACATCTGCCTAAGGAAAGGGTTCCTGCAATAGAAGGCTGTGTGAAATGGGAAGATGCTGCGCCATTGGTGGCACTGAAGACAGAGGAAAGCTCTTTACCCCCAGGCCAAGAGATGCAAGGAACATAGTTCTAGAAAGCAGGAGAGAACAAGCACTGGGAGCCAGGCTCTCCCCAGGGCCTTTGGAACAAAGGCAGTCCTGATGATGACTTCATTTCATCCCAGTGAACCTCCTTTCTGTCCTCTGATCAGCAGAACAAAAAGAGGATAAATGCATGTTGCTCTAAACTAACGGGCAATTTGTTATAACAGTCATAGGAGACTAACACACCACAAGACATGCTGGTTGGCCCCTGCCCTCCTCTATCCTAGCAGACTTCAGAATCACCAGAAGAGGATGGGTTGTCAGTCTAGGCTCCCAGCAACGGAGGTGCCTAGGTGCCCCCTGCATACTTTGGGACTCTCCTGGCAGCTAGAGGAACAGGCCCCTGGCAGATGCAGCATGGAAAGTTCTTGAGCAGGGTAAAGAAACATCAGCCAGGTCCTGGCTCCTTGAGACCTAGAACATATACTAGAAACCCCAGAGAGCTTCGATGCTCAGGATGCTTAGCCACCCAGATGAGCAGGTCATGTGCAGGATCAAGGAAAAGCATCAGGATCCTGGTGGTAGCAGAGCCAGCACAGAGAGATGGGACTAGAGCTCCGGCCCTTACACTTAGGAACAGAATCAACACCCTAGGCCTTGGGAAGGGGCAAAGTCTCTGGTTTGAAGACACATAGTGGCCTGACCTCAAGCAACTCTCCAGGTACATACCCTGACTCTGCTGGGACAGTTCCCTACCCCAGCATTGTCTCATCTGCTCCTGAGTACCTACCACATGCACCATGTCCCCATGGGGTCTTTTGAGTAACTTCATTGCTTTCCTTCTTGATCTTTCTTTACCTCTTTCATCTTTTGTCCTTTCTTGACTATCTCTGTGGGCTGTCTGAAAGTCTTTGTATGGAGCAGGATACATTAATAAATAAACAAGTTGTCAATGTAAAAAAAGAAAAGAAGCCAGACATGGTACCCTACCTGTAATCTCTGGTTCCAAGAGGCTGAGGCAGGAGGATTATCGTGGGGACAAGGATAGCCAGTGTTACACAGCAGGGTTCTATCAAAATGACGGAGTGGGGCTGGAGAAATGACGCAGTGAGTAAAGCTCTTTCCTTGCCCATGTAAAAGTCATGCTTCTGTAATCGCAGTCCTCCTATGGGGAGATAGGAGGCAGAGACAGGAGGGTCATCTGGCCTGGTATATGCAGGACGGAACAACAGAGAGACCCTGCCTTAAAGTAGAATACAAGGACCAACACTCACACACATTCACCCCAACCACACAACTCTCAATAAACCTAGGAATGGCAATTCCAATATGAGCCAGAGCCGTAATTCTAGGCTTCCGCTATAAAACAAAAGCATCACTAGCCCACTTCCTACCCTAAGGTACTCCTATTACCCTTATCCCAATACTAGTTATCATCGAAACAATCAGTCTATTTATTCAACCAATAGCACTAGCCGTCCATCTAACAGCTAACATCACAGCAGGTCACCTACTAATTCACTTAATTGGAGGAGCTACACTAGTATTAACCTCAATCAGCCTGCCAACAGCCAGTAAACTCCTCACACACGCACTTCTAAAAGAAGAGAAAAAAAAAGACAACCAAGACAAACAAAAAACACAAATACAAGATATCTTCGGAGCTGAGCACAGTAGTGCATGCCTCTAAGCCTAGAACTCAGAGAAGCAGGAGGATTTCGACTTCAAGTCTGTACCACTTACTGCATACTACGTGGCACGTTGTGCTCAGGACACATTATGGCTATCTTGGTCTTTTTGTAAAAATGCATTTTATGAGTGTACTCCCTGCATTTATTTAAGTGTATCCATGTCATGCAATGACCATGGAGGTCAGAAGAGGGTGTCAGATCTCCTGGAACTGAAGTTACAGACAGTTGTTAGTCACTATGTGAGTGCTGGGAATTGAAACTGGGTCTTCTGCAAGAGCAGCCAGTGCTCTTAACCACTTAGTCATCTCTCCAGCCTGCTGTCTCAGTCTTGAAATCAGAGCAGCTGTGACTACTCCCAGATTGGGCTTGGTCTATCTGCGTCCAAGTTGCCATGCTCCTGTATCTAACCCCTCACCCACGCTTCTATGAGTAACACTAAGAAACTCACTGGTTCATCAAGTTGGACTTGGGTAGAATTATTTCTTTGGTCTGCCATTGGTGCTCTATCTAGGGTAAATATACATTTGTTCATGGCTCCCCAGGAAGTCATGGGACACATTCTCAGCGGGGAGTAGCACTTGTACATGTGGCCTTTCTGTGGGACTACAAGTTCCTTTATTTAATAAGACAAATGACTGGTCAAATTTCCCCTCTACTAACTGGCTATGGACAAGCTCAATGCCCAGTTAAAGGGCCCTTTACCTATCTCTACAACCCCTGAGATAGCGCCATCTTTTCTGCTGGGGGTTCTGTCTCAGGCTCCAGGTGTGTGCTGGGGATACAGGGAAAAGGGAGTTCACAGGCTGTCCAAATACAATCTAGAAAGAATCCTGACACAAACCAAGGCGTGGGTGATTCTGGTGTGATCTTTAAGATCTAGGATTCTCTGTCCTAGATCCTTTCCTGGGAGCCAGAGGAGGAAGAGTCTCTGGTGGCTCAAAAGAAATCTGATTATAGGGCTAAGTGTTATAATCCTAACACCCACAAGGAAGCTAGAACTAAGCACGAAGGTCATCAGATTGTGACAAAGCCAACAGAAACTGTCAAGTGAATGAAGCTGTGTTGCTGATTCTTCCATGGGCAGAAGGGGGAAGTTGGGGTGGAGGAACACAGGAGCCTAATTATGCCTGCTTCCCGGATAAGGTCCTGAGGGGTGAAAAGTGCCTCCAAATCCCCACTCCCTCCCCTGCTCTTGAGTCCCAGGTACCTCTGCTCTTTTCACATGAACTAGCACACCCCACAGCAGCAGCCCTTCAGGCCAGTCCTCCTCACAATGTCCTACAGGTGTATTTTCCTGGTGGCTGCCCAACCTTCCTTAGCTTTGACCAGAAGCTGTGTGACCCTAAACAAATGGCTTGATCTTTTGCAGCTGGCTCTTTCTCACAGAATGAAAATATTTGCTGCTAATGATGACAATGGTTTCCATTTATCAAGCAAGTTCCTTCTGCTTGATTTTATGCTGAGAATTCAACATGTTTTCATTTAAGCCTCTCAACATAGCCTATAACATAGATTCTATTATTATTTTTATCTTACCAGGAAGCTTAGGCTCAGAAATGTAAAGTTGTTTGTATGAGGCCCCACAGCTAATACTCCAAAGCTCAGTATTTGAGCTGAGAGGTCAGACTCCGGGCTCAAGGTCTTAGCTGACCCCCTTGGTCAGGGTTCTTGGAGGAGATTCGTTGGTAAAGGATTACCAAACAAATTTAAGAATTAAATAGTGTTAAAATCCCTCAATCCCCACCCCCAAAAATATCCCCAATAAAACTAGATCAACGAAGTGAAAAGACAGTGCACAAAAAAGGAAATATCAAAACTTTGCTAGACTGGTAATCAAACAAATATAAATTACGACATTGTGGGGAAGAAAAGAGCAGGGAACAGTCTGCAAGTCAGAAGGCAGTGCTCTGAGACACAGAATGTGGTGCCTTGCTCTTGAGAACTGTGAAAAATAAACTTCTATGGTTTATAAGCCCTCAGTCTAGGACAGTCTGTTATTAGGGCCCAAACTAAGACCATGTATGCTCTAAAATTTGTGCAATAAAGAAACACAATCATAGCAAGCATGCACACAGGAAAGAAAATTACTACTGCGCACTGTTTTTTGTTTATCAGATTGAAGAAGAGTAGGGACCAAGGAAAGACTGGGGTATAATTGACTTAATGTACTCCTAATTTGTTGTTACTATGTTCTTAGGATGGACTTTTTAATTTTCAACTCAACGTGTGCTAAGCTTCGCAGAGTGTCTTGACCAAAAAAAAAAAAAAGCAATAAACATTTTTATAATAATTGTCACGGCAAAGTCAAGCGTAGGCGCAGCGCCAGCTCGCTAAGGACAAACCGCGAGTGGGCACACGGGTTGCGCGTGGGGGGCGTGTCCTGGCCCGTGGGTGGGGCGCTAGTTAAGACCACAAGTTCCAGACGCCCGCGCGCCGCCTCTCCGGGACCACGTGATCCGCGGGTCCCGGTCGCTGTAGCTGCTGCTACTGCGGAGCTGTACCGGGTCTGGAGATTCCAGCTGACCCAGGCGACCCTGGCGGCAGCCTGGCGCGCTCACCATGGCGGTGAGCCGGGGTCCGCGCGTTGGAGGGGTCGCGGGTGGGCTTCTGGACGGGACCCTCTGACCTTCGCCGTCCCCGACCCGGGGCTGGAGAAGGGGACGCCGCGGCTAACAGTGGATCCCGGCTGCGCGCGGCCTGGGCCCGCGCGTCCCCGAGCACACGCCCCCGGCTCGGCCTGTCATTGCAAGTTCCTGGGTCTTTTTCTCCGAAGCGGACCCAGCTACTTCCCCAGCCTTCCTACACTCAGAAGGTAGCGCTTTCTGCATCCGCCTTTTCCTGGTAAGGTTCACCCCGGGTAGAGAGGATGACAGCTTGCAAGGCTCTGCTCTTTGAAGAAACGCTATCAGTTTATCTCATGAACGATTTCTCAGAATCTAAGAGACAGGAAGCCTGCACAGACCAGTCCACCTCCTGCCGGCCCTCCAGCACGGAAAATAACCTGGAAAGCCCGCGGCAAAGTCCCCAGCTGGTCAGCGGTAGCACTGGGGCCCTCCTCCCTTTCTGAAGTCTTTGGTTGATAAATGAAAGAGCTTTTCTCCAAGTTTAGCCCCAAATGAGAAAGCAAAAATCAGCCCCACGGATGGCTCCCTCCTTGGTTCCTCCCCTGTGAGGGTGCGGTCCTGAATAAAGGAGATAAACTGCCAGAGACCCAGATTTGGCTCAGGCGGGACCGCGGCTGGGGCCCGGCGCCCTGCGTATCTCACAAGACCGGCTGCTTGCAGCCTCTTCCCTTGAGTCACGGTGTACTGATTTGATTCCTGTTCCTTAGCTGGAATACGGGAAGTCCGTCGAACCTGCCTCCTTCTGGGGTTTTGGACTTGGCAGGGAAGTGGAGCCTGTGCATTGTGGACACTTCCAGTTGGAAGCACATTGCCTTTGGCCTCCCAGCTGCCTCCTCCTGCGGCTTCTGCGCTGTCCAGCCGCTTGCCGCTTCCCCCACAGGTGGCTCTGGGTCTTCACTGTGCCTCCCTGCTTCTCACTACACACAGTTTTCGTTATCTGTAGGCTTCTCTGACTCTCAGGCTAAGCAGTTCGCACCACTGAGATTTACTACCAGACTTCATTGCATTTTCCGAGTTGCAGATTCCTAGCCCAGGAAAAGGAAGTATTGGTTAAGTGAAGTTTAGTGTCTGTGGCAAAAAGGTGTTGGCTGTTTTGAGCTCCTGAAGTAGTTGGCCTGGACCCAGGAATGATAGAAGGGAAACGAGTTACGGGAACTCCCTGGGTGATTAAATTAGCCACTGGAGACATTCCTGTCATGCCAAGAACTTTACCAACTGGACTGGGAGAAAGGGTGATGTGCACAACCTCCAGCTGGCAGAGATGGTGCCAGGGGCTTCTCCTGGAGTCAAATGAATGCAGCCTCAGTATAAATGGAGTTCCCTGGGGTTGCTCTGACCTCTTTGCTTTTGCGTATTAGTATTTCATGAACCCTTTTCCAGGTCAACAGCTTTTCTCTTTGACATTCTGATGAGATATCTCTGGATGGTAGAACTCAAAATGATTTTTCTATTTTGTGCTATTTTAGCTTTTTATATTTAGCAAGTGCCACTTTCATATTAGGAAATAAACAGCTAGTTTTCTTTTTAAATTCTTCAACATGATTTTGAAATGACTGTATTTCCAAATTGTAACTGTTACATAATCTTCCTGGCTAAGAAGGAGGAGAGCATGGTTCACACAGTTTCTACAAGCCTAGCCCCTCAGATACCTGCCCCAGAAATATCCAGAGTGCCTATTTGAAGTGTTGCAAATTGAGGAGTGACTCATGTTTTCTAGAAGAATCTCTAGCTCCAGTTACATGGACCTTTCTGTGCCTTGTCATAATATGAAGAAGTTAATAATAGCACATAATAGCAAAGATGTCTTTGGGGGGAGATATAACTTGGGAGCTGAGCACAGTGCAAGACCATGCAGGCTCTCAGAAGGCACAGGGCTGCATAGCTGTGCTGCTCAATCAGTTGATATTTCTCACCTCTTTCCTGAAGACTTGGCTTCAGTGTAGGCACAAATGGGTTGATGACACAAGTCAGTCCCCTTTCAGAACTGAAAGGTGTGAGTAGGACAGCCAGCTCTGTTTCCAGGTCTGATCATCCTTAGACCTAAAGCTGATATAAGTCTGAATACAGGGATTGAGATGTACATGGATGACTTGACTCATAAATAGAGGCCTGCTCATTTTTTCGTGAGTTTTGTTTTCTCTTATCCTTTATAGGGTTTAAGTGTAGGAGTGATGCTTACACTGGGAGTGCCTGCACCCAGTTCATAGGGACCTGAGAAAGTGAAGCCAAATCAGGGGAGAGGCTTTCTAGAGTTCAGTCCCCATTTTACAAATGGGGAGACTGGGGTCCAGTAGGAGCTTGCTGTATGGCTTCTCAAGGTCATGCAGCCAGTTCAAAACAACAGGGAGACAGAGCTAGGATGCTCAGCTTTAGGATCTGCAGTCTGTCCACTAGGCTTTAATGCCTCTGTTTAAGCTGCACCACACAAAGTGAGCATCAGGACCCCTTGAAAGGGTCTTGTCAAAATCATGCAGCTGTGGCCCTGCATTATGATTGAGGGGGTCTAAGAAAGCTCAGGAACCTGCATTTTTAATGAGACCCAGGAAGTTCTAAAGGGGCACTACTGTCCTTCACGAAGCCACTTGCCAGTGTGGGACTCATGACTTGCCTGTGTCTCCTGGGCCAGGAGGTCTGTCTGTACACCCAGTGATTTCCCTAGAATTCCCTCTGTGTATGTGGATCCAGTGTCAGGTGCACACCTGTGCTCCACTCTGGCAACCTGCCTCCCACCTCTTCCTCCTTGCCTTTCATCCTGTTTTCCAGCTGTCATTGTGTGGACACCGGCTTTTCTTCCCTACCTTCAGATACCATGGCCCTTGTTTGTTTTGTTTCTTTTTCCTTGGAAAGGCCTAAGCACCTCTATCCTAATCAAAAGGGGCCTTTTCCCCTATATCTTCCCCCCCGATGTCTTCCCCCTTGTTCCCCCCAAAGTGGCTCCATCTCTGCTATTTTCACATTTTCTTTTGGAAATGTTAAAACTAATAACCAAGGGCTGGCACCGTAGAGTGCTTGCCTAGTATGCATAGAACCCTGGGTTCTATTCCCAGTACCACATATACTAGGTGGGGAAGGTATACACGCTTGTGATCCTAGCACTCAGGAGGTGGAGGCAGGAGGTTCAAAAGTTCAAGGGCTTCCTCAAGTTCAAGGCTAGCCTGGGCTACACAAGACTCTAATCAAAACAAAACAAAATAATCAGGAGAGATGGCTCAACTCTTAAGAGCATGTACTACTCTTGCAGAGGATCCAAGTTCAGTTTCCAGCACCCACAATGGGCAGTTTACAACCACTAGTAACTCCAGATCCAGGGTATCTTATGCCTTCTGGCATCCATGGACACTGTACTCATATGCACAAACCCATACCCAGACACACACTTATACATGTAATTTAAAGTAAAAATATCTTTTAAAACAAAGCAAACAGAAAAAGCTAATAACTAAAAAGCACTCCAGTGGCTTGTCTACACAAAACAGCATCTCTTTACCTCTTGTGTCAAATGAAGCCCCTGTATGAAGACCTGGGTTCTAGTCCTAATGCTATCATCACCTCACAGGGTGACCTTGGGTGTGTTACAGGTGCCTCTTAGGCTTTCTGTGCTGTCTTGAGAGGTTTTGTTGCAAGCATAGACTGAAGCCAGTCTGCCTGGGTAAAAACCTGGCTGGGCAACTTGCCCTCTAATATAAGAAAAGGTTAGCAGTTCCCCAAGTGAGGTACTGTCCAACAGGATGCTCAGCAACATAAAAAGGGATGCAGACAGGGGGCATGCTTCTTTTAATGATACTGAGGGTTGAACCTAGGGTCTCACACATGCTAGACAACCTTCTCAATGCTGGCCACAGACTGGGCTCAGCAAAGAGTTTAGTGACTTTTATATGGTGTACAGATGGAAGGCAGCTGCCCTTGGGCCCTTCATAGCAAACTCTTCTATGTCAGTCCAGATTCATTAGGACAAGAAGGACTCCCTGCTGGCACTGGGGAGGGTGTTCCAGAACTGAGCAGCAGGGCTGAGCCAGGGGATAAGGCTTGGTCTAGGGCTTCCTTTTGGGTTTGAAGGACTCAGAGTTAATATCTCTATATGGCTTAAGGGCACTATGTCATTCAGAGTCTGGTTGGCCCTGTAAGGGTGGGCATTCCCTATCTTCACGTCTACACAGAGGAGGGCTAGCTTGTTACAGGGCTGTTTGGCCACTTGGGGAAGCCCTTTCCCCATATGACCTCTGATTGCCCTTCTAGCATGTAAGTCCTGTGCACCGCCCCCCCCCAGGGTCTCCAGAGGCATCTCCTGAAAAGCATTAGGAAGCAGGACATCTCGTGATGCAGATCCCCATCTCTTTCAGATGCATTTCATCTTCTCGGATGAGGCTGTGCTTCTGTTTGATTTCTGGAGTGTCCACAGTCCTGCAGGTAGGAACTGGGAGGCTCAGACTTGTAGTTTGGCGAGCCTTGTAGTTCTGAGAAGTAGAGAGCTTGGGTTTTCTTTCTTCTCTGTGGGCATTTAAGGCACACTGAGCCAGAATTTTGTACTTATAATTCCATTTACAATGGCTATCCTTCAGGTTTCAAAAGGCTTTGCTTTTCACTGATCCTTACAACACTGGTGGAGCAGGAGAGGCAGAGACAGGGGAAGGGGAGCACCTTGGACCTCAGATGAGATAATTTTGAAAGGGAAGAGTAGTTCTTTGACTTGGAAAAGCAGAGTTCCATTTTAATTCGTGATGGAGTTATTCTTCAACTTAAACTTGCCATCTTCAAAGTGGACTAGAAATGGGCCAGATAGGCCTGGCGTGGTGGCACACACATTTAGTCCTGGCACTTGGGAGGCAGAGGCAGGCAGATCTCAGTGAATTCAAGGCCAACCTGGTCTACATAGTGAGTTCCAGGCCAGCTGGGGCTACAGGGAAACACTGTCTCAAAAAGACAGAAAAAAAAAAAAGACCAGATACCCATCATCACAAGTGTGGCCTTCTCTACTGTGGAGGACTGCTCCATCTACCCACTGCAAAATAAATAGTCGATTAAAACAACACCATTTTGCTAGTATTTCTCAAAGTTCTGTGAGTTGACTGGGATAACTAACTAAAGTGGTCCTCACTCAAGGCCACTCATGCAGTAGAGCCAGATAGTGGTAGGAACCAGAATCTTCTTGAAGAGTGTTTAGTAGCTAGTACCTGCTGTTAGCTGTGACCTCAGCTGGGATTCTTGACTGAACCCCATAAAGTGGCAAAGTTCTAAGAGCAAGCATCTCAAGAGAACACAGGTAAAGTGCACAAAGTTTTAAAACCTACCCTTAGGGGCTAGGAATGGCTCAGTTGGTAAACTATTTGCTGTGCAAGCATGAAGACCTGAGTTTCATCTGCAGCATCCATGTAAAAGCCAGGCATGGCAGCATGCACCTATAATCCCATCACTGGGGAGGCAGAGACAGGAGGATCCCTTGGCTTGATGGCCAGCCAGTCTAGCTACAGCTTAGTGAGAGACCCTGTCTCAAAAAAATAAGGTAAAAGGGGCTAGAGAGGTAGGTGGCTCAGCAGTCTAAAGTTCTTACCGCTTCTTGCAGAAGATCTGGGTTCTGTTCCTGGGTCTGACCCACATGGCGGCTCACAACTGTATGGACTCCAGTTTCAGGGGATCTGATCCCTTCTTCTGGCCTCTGTGGGCAATCTATGCATATAGTACACATATATACATGCAGGCAAAATACTCATATACGTAAAATAAGTTAAATCTTTTAAAAAATAAGGTAGGGAGCAATAAAGGATGACACCTAATGTCAACCTCTGACTTTCATACACATGTACCCCTATACATATGTGAATACATACATGAGTATATACACACATATATTCACACAAATAAAAAATAAAACCTAGTCAGGGTTGGAGATGTGACTCAGTGGTTAGGAGCACTGACTGCTCTTACAGAGGACCCAGGTTCCATTCCCAGAACCCACATGGTAGCTAACAACCATCCATAACTCCAGTTCCAGGGGATCCGATGCTGTCCTCTGACCTTGGTGGGCATTGCATGACACAGGTGCAGTTTACATACATGTAGGCAATACACTTATACATATAAAATAAAATAAAAATAAAACATAGTCTTGGAAGTCACCTAGCATTATTCTCACCTTATTGGTTTGGTCACAAAGGTCTTCTAGACTAGAAAGGAGGGAACAAGGTCCCTATCCCATGGTGAGGGCGGGTGTACAGGATATATTGGTGTGAATGTCTTTGGAAGATAGAATCTATCACAGATACTATAGAGCAACCCAGAAAAATAAGGGAGACGTGTGAACTAGAGGGAGCCTTTGTCCTGAGGAAGCTGCATGATTAAACTGGATGCAGGAGAACAGGATGCTGTCATTTAGGCAGTGAAGGCTGATTGATATACATGGAGTGGCAGAGGCTACTATGGAGGGGAGGCTGGGTTCTAGGAGGCTGGGCTGACTGAAGACTCAATACACTCAGGTGTATACCCTTCATGTTTCAATTTTTTTTGTCTTTTTGAGACAGGGTCTCCCTGTAGCCCCAGCTGGCCTGGAACTCACTATGTAGACCAGGCTGGCCTTGAACTCAAAAGATCCACCTGCCTCTGCCTCCTGAGTGCTGGGATTAAAGGTATGTGCTACCATGCCCAGCTCATATTTCAACTTTCATCACAGGCATCTAATTACCAGTGACTGAGTATTTTTAAAAACCTGTGGCTTTTGCAGTAGTTGCCTTTTTAAAGGAAAAAAAAAACCCAACCTATTATTTTTCCTTTTATTATACTCAACACACTTCTGTGGCCAGATATGTAGGTCTTCCCCACCAACTTTTCTAACAGCAGAGGCACAGCTGAGGCAGAATGTTCCAACCTTATCCGTTAGTTCCCCTGGCAACTATCCTCCATCCTGAGACCAGCTACACAAGAACCCCAGCCATAAGTCATCAGCACCTATAAGCATGTTTTTTTTGAACACAGGGTTTTCAGTGTATAGCTCAGGCTGGCCCCAAACTCACAATCCACCAGCCTCCTGAATAGTTGGAATTACATAAAAACCTGTGCCACAGAACCCTACTTGCTTGCTTATTATTTACACGTGTGTGGGTGCACTTATGTATGCAGGTATACAGATATGTATGCATATGCATGTGGAGGCCAGGGGACAACCTTAGCTGTGGTTCATCTACCTTGCTTTTGAGACAGGGTCTCTTACTGGCCTGAAACCTGCCAACTAGGCTAGGCTGGGCTGGTCAGCAAGCCCCAGGTATCCACCTGTCTCTCCCCAGTGATGGGATTATAAACATATGCCACCATGCCTGCCTTTTTTTTTTTTTTTAACACTGGTTCTGGGGATTGAACTCAAGTCCTTGTGCTTACAAGGAAAGCACTTTACCAACTGAGCCATCTCCCAAGCCCAGCTTATTCATCTTTAATTGGCAAAAAATATACATATTTATGTGGTAGTGTGTGAGGTTTCAGTACATGTATAGGTTATGTAATGTTCAAATCAGGGCAAACCTGTCTCTCCAAACATTTATAATTTGTTTGTGAAGAGAGCATGTAAAACCCTTTCCTAATATTTTGGAATATGCAGTACATTGTCATGATCTGTTCATGGGTGGTTCAGCATATGAGAACCCACTTTTCAGCTTGGCCTCCTCACAGGTATGGCCCTCTCAGTGCTGGTAATCCTGCTCATGGCTGTCCTGTATGAAGGCATCAAGGTCGGCAAAGTCAAGTTGCTCCACAAGACTCTGGAGAGCCTGCCCACCGCCACCAGCCAGCAGCTCATCTTGGAAACAGACCAGGATTCTGCAGGTTCCAGCTCACCCCCAGTCAACAGAACCCATCTGAGGTACAGGCCCTGGGTAGAGAAATGGGCAGAGCTCACTTTTACCCTGTGAAGTTAATGGGTTCAAAAACTACTAACCCCTTGCACAGAAAGGAAGTCAAGGCCCAGGAAGTGTTTAGTAAGGTGAACTAGAGCCTGTGTCTGTAGTGTCTGAACCAAAGCTCTCTATCAGCAGCCTCTTGGGAGGCTCCAGAGGATTTCTTCAGGGAACTGTGGTCTTCAGAACCCTGCTGCAGGGCCCTGTCAAGCAGGAGGCATGGCCATCTAGCCTTCCCCTGTCTCACCAATTTCAAACCCAGGAACTGCTATCAACCATGCATCCCACTTGATGGGGGAGAAGGCACCATTTCCTCTGCTCCCGTCCCACTCTCATTAGGCAGCCATCCAGGGTGCCCAGTCTGCCCTCTCTCCAGCCTCACTTGCGCTTAACGAGCCTGCCTGCTACACCACCAGCCTCTTTACCTGGGTGCTTCACATCTTCATAACCACCCTGCAAGGAGGGGGTTCTTGGTGTTTTATTAAGCAAATCAGCACTCAGAGAGGTTAGGACATTTATGTAAGGCCACATTTTATAGTTGGCTAAACTAGGAAGTGATCTTTCACCAAGTCCCTGCCCGTCTCACTTCATCCCACCCCACATTCAGTTCAGGGGAGAGAACTGCCTTCCTGATGATTTCCTTGTTTCTCTTTTATGCCTAGGTGGTTTTTGTGTCATTTCGGCCAGTCTCTAGTCCACGTCATTCAGGTGGTCATTGGCTACTTCGTGATGCTGGCTGTAATGTCCTACAATACCTGGATTTTCCTTGGTGTGGTCCTGGGCTCGGCTCTTGGCTATTACCTAGCCTACCCACTTCTAAGCATGGCTTAGCCAGCCAGAGCAGTGCAGGGCTGGAGAGAGCTGGGGCCTCTCTCTACTTCAGCTACTGTCCAGCCACTTTTTCTTATGATGGCTATTACTTACCTTTCTCCCAGTTCCTAGCAGCTTTGAGCTGAAGCCAGCATATATCCCAGAGCTCAGAGGCCATTGGAGCTGCCTCCCTCTCCAGCCGGCCTGTATAGGGCCCAGGTCTCATGTGGTGCCTTAAGCAAGCAGCTGTGACCAAAGAGAGCTTGGACAGACTAGAATCCAGAGGCAGGATGGCCAGACCAGTGACCACAGCTTTCTGACTCCAAATTAAGAATTTCTAAAGAGCTTAAGGACAGGGATCTGGGTGATGGAGGCCATGGAACCCAGATACCCTCTTTTGCTTTGTGCCTTATCGTCAGGAGCATCCCCCACTGGCCTTGACCTGTTCGGTCTTCAGTCTTTGGGGGACAGTCAGTGCTAGCTCCTTGTTTCTACCTTTCTGCCTTTGGAACACATGAACATTGTCATTAACAAACCAAGATTTTTCCCTTTGAACTCCTGGTTGCAATTTTGCACATTTGTACAAAACAAAATTTCTAATGAAATGATCTCATTGTATTCATGATGGATGACACTGCCTATTCAGTCCTAGCTCCCTTTTCTTGCAGGAAGACTAAAGGATACTGACTAAAGCAGAGAGCCAGGATTCTTACCAAGTTGCTGGCCTGTCTGCTGGGTAGATGGATTCCTCCCATCTAACAGCACTACCTGCAGCAAGAGGTTAGGCTCATGATCAGGGTGCTGGGGAGTTCTCCAGGTCCTTACGTGACCCACTCGTGTGCACCACAGAGAACCGTAATTTGTAACAGTCAGCTTACTACCCCTTATTTATTACTTACCGCTAACTCTTAATGATCTGGTAGGGAAACATGATTCAGTCGTCGAAAGTACTGATTAAGCTGGAGGGATACTGACTGAGGATGCAATGAACAGGCAAACCAAAGCCAGGGCATCTTTAGTGTTCAATGGACTGAATATTTGAGCCTTTTCATTTACGAAAAAAGGAAAGAGCCAGGTGTAGTGATGCACACCTGTAATCCCAGCACCCAGGAGACTGAGGCCAGCTTGGGCTACATAGCATTACAAGCTGGCCTGGGCGATGTAGTGAAACCCTGTCTCAAATACACATACATGAAAGATAATCACTGCTATATACTGTATAAACTGTAGTATCTATGTTCAAGTACCTCATGGGCTCAATGAAAAGATTATTTTAAGCTCTGGGAATTAAAAACATGCATTTGCATTTTAATAAATCTATATTTTTGAACATCTGGTTGTTAGTTTCTCCTCTTTCCAACAGTAAGTGCGCCTGACTCATATATAGCACCACAGGAGCTGGGAGACTGAGGCTAATACTGTAAGAGTTGAAGACAACTCTGAGTGCGGGGAAACTGAGTCCTGAAATGTCATGCCTACAGATAGACACTCCAGAATGCCAACTTGGTCAACATTCTTTGATGTAGCAAGCTATTGAGCATGTGCCTTCTGTAAGAGTAGCTGTCCTACTGATTATAACCCATGTTGGCATGACTGTCAGCAGCAGGTCTTCCCAACAGAAACAACATGAACTTTTAATTGACAATAAGAAATGAGGGTCACAGGAAGTATGGAATGCGGCTCCTTTGGGATTGCTTAGTGCATTCTCCTCATGTACACAGGGGCCTGGAGAGCTGCCCAGTCTCAGGTATGAGATTCCAAGTGTCCAGTGTTCCAGCCATTGGTAAACCCTGACCGGTCTTAGCACCCTCCCTGGGGTACTGCTGGATAGGCATTTTCATGGGTGACTGGCAGATTCCCCAGGTTGGTACTATGTAAATATGGTCCTATTTGAGGACTTTATACTTTTTTTAAAAAATATGTCCTATAGAGTATATGGTTAGACTTAGGCCACCCAATGTCTTCATTTCAACATTCTTCAGCCAGGTCACAAAAAGTGGTACTTGACCCCACTTCATTTTTTTTTTAAACAATTATCTGTGTATGTGACAGTCCATTGTAGTAGTTTAAGTATTAAGCCATTTAATCCTCACTTGAGGGTAGGAACCATCCATCTTCATCTTAGAGATGAGGAAGCTGAGGCATGAGAAGAGCTGCCCACTGAGGAACAGCAGGGCAGAGATGCACTTGTTTCCTCATCCGCTCAGATGAGGGCAGAGGCCACACAGCCCATGGTGTACAGAAGTCAGCTCAAGACTAGAGATGAGGCTGTGCTGTGTTTTAACCACAATGGGTGGAAATTCTCAGATTTAGGGGTGGGGCCAGGAGCCTTTTTTGTTTTTTTAATTCAGTGCTGGGATCAAACTCAAGGCCTTGGAAATGCTAGGCAGGTGCTCCACCACTGAGACACGGAGCCCTAGGGCCTATATTCCTATCAAGCAGCACTAGCTTCTTCCCTCTGTGCACCCAGTGACAGGCAAGGACAGTGGACTAGCTAGGCTCTTGAGTCATCCACGTGGGATGTGAATTCCTGTTCTGCTGCTAGCTATGTAACTTTGCCCATCTAAGCCTCAGTTTCCTCCTCTATACAATAGGGGTAAGAGTGTCTTCTGCAGGGGCTCTTGGAGATGAGACAATCTGGGTGCACTGTCAGCCAGCAGTACCTATTTGTTACATGACAAAGTTTAATACACAGTCATTGTTGCTGCTTCCTGGACCCATGTGTGGGAGACAGGAACAGCTTGCAAGGGTAATGGCCAGATGCAATGGAACTCGGAATCCTGTCTTATAAACATTTTATTTGTTATTTTTATTTTATGTGTATGAGTGTTATGCCTGCACGTGTGTAAGTGCACCCGTGTTGTGTAGTGCAGTGGAGGACAGAAGAGGGCATCAGATCCCCTGGAACTGGAGTTATGGATGGTTGTTAGCCACCTTACGGGTGCTGGGAATTGAACCTGGGTCTTCTGCAAGAATAGCCAGTCCTCTTAACTGCTGAGCCATCTCGCCAGTCCCCTTATAAACATTTTAAATCATGGAATATTTTTGTTAGAATTATTTTATATTTTGAGACTGGGTCTCCCTGTAGCCCCAGCTGCCTGGAACTCAGTTTGTAGACCAGGCTGGCCTCGAACTCAGAGACCCACCTGCCTATGCCTCCTAAGTGCTGGGATTCACAGCATGTGCCACCATGCCCAGCTTAGAATTATTCTCTTTGAAGACTGATTCTATGGTCTTTGGAAGACCCTAGAATAAGTAAATGGCCACAAATATTTTCTCATTGCTGTTCTTTGCATCAATCCCAGCCCCTAAGGACTGAAAGCTGCTCTCAAAGTGAAGAACCCCTCAGGTGCCATGAACAGCAGATATTAAGGATGCCCTCCCCTTCCCTGCATGGCTCATTAACCTGTAGGATCACCTATAGAAGCCAGTACAGGACAGGAGTGGTCCTCAGATAACCACCATGGTCCTGAGCCTTATGCAGCTAGAGTGAGCTGGGACTGCAGCATGGTGACTCTTTGAAAGCCATCAAATTCAGAGTTAGGTGCTGAGGGGAATATATCACTACTTTAGTGCACATTAACTGACCCAACTGCAACTCCTACCCTTAAGATCCCAAGGAGCACAGACAGCCCTGAAAACCAAATTCAGTTTCTCCCCAAGAGCCCAAGTCAAGTTTTATTATAGACATTTATTTCAGTCATGTTAATTTCAAATACTCATTGACTTTTTGTGTAAGATTTAAGGCAGAGACAAAAGATAGATGTGCTGAGCCATAGGCCAAGTCAGTATGATCTCTCAGTTCTCCAAGGAGGCCTCTCCCCAGGTGACAGGCTGTGTTGCTGCAGCACAGGTGAGCCCTGGGAGGGTGGAAGAAGGAGGGCTCACAGGTCAGTCTTGCAAGTGAATGAAAAGAAAAGCTTGGAGAGAGGGCAGGACATTGTGACTGGCTGCAGGCAAGTCTTCCTCCCAGACCTTCCTCCAACTGAGATTCCCAGGCAGAACACAGGGTACTCAACCACCAGCCCTGCAGACACAGTCACAATCCTCTTCACTAGGTCAAGTGAGGGCTCAGACGGCAGCTAATTCAGATGGAGTATGTGGGTGTCCTCAGAATGTTTAGTTTGACCTCACCCTGAGGCTTGCCTAGACTGAGGCCAGCTGTGCAAAATCATGCTTAGGGAAGGGTTGGGAGAGAAACTTGTGCACCCATTTCCTAGGTCTTCATCCCAGCCAGTCAATGTCATTGTCATCATCATCATCTCCAAAAAGGGGTGTTGGGGGCGGGCGTCCTTTCATGCTCTGACAAAACAGAAAAGAGAGGTCAGTCCTCACTTGTCCCTGCCCTGGTGGCGTCCCACCTATGAGGGGAAATCGTCCAGTGTCTGTCCTGACTCTGATTGGAAAGGAGATACATTAGAAGACAGACCCTGTGGCCAGAGAACTGGAGCATCTAGATAAAACTGAAGACAAAGCAAGCAGAGAGGAAGGCCATCTTTCAACAGAGACAAAAGAACAACTTTGTTTGGGATTTTTGTCATTTATTTGTGAAGCACGTGTGTTGATTTGACAGATATGCCTCTTTGTGATAACTTATACATTTCATATGGAAAAAGAAAGGTCACTGAGGAGAAATGGAATAGGAGAAAAGAACAGAAGCCAAGCAGCCCAAGAGAGGAGAACGTGGGAAGATGACAGGTTGAGAGAAATACAATCCCATTCAAAAAGGGGTTCTCATGGCCTGACAGGCTCTGATGTGACCTAATCATTTAAAAGCCAAATTTAATTCAGAGGCTTATCCACATTCTCAAGTGGAGAATCCCAAGAGATAATGAAAGCCCACAAACACAGGGCCCAGCTTCCTACCACCCTGCTTCCACTGGCACCACCCATGCTCCTTTTAACCAGGGGGAGATAAAAGGGATTCAAGGGATATTAGGATCTCTAAGTGTCCCAGCCAAATGCCCCTATACTAAAGGCTCAAGTCCCCAGCTTGGTGCTGTTGGGAGGTAGTAGAATCTTAAAAGATGGAGCCCACTAAGAGGTCTCAGGTGATTAGAGGTGTGCCCTTGAGGGGAGAGAAGGACCCCAGCCCCTCCTTTCATAGTCTTTTACTTCCTGACCATGAGGAGAACGGTTTTGCTCCATCACATGTTCCTACCATGATAACACTGCCTCACCATAGGCCCAAAGTGATGGGGTGAATCTGTCATGGACTGAGACCTCCAAAAGTATGAGCCAAAATAAACATTCACCCTTTATAAATTATCTCAGGCATTCTGTGACAGTAACAGAAACTGACTAACACAATGATTAGACCTTCTGGCCTTTCTCCTCTGGTTTGGTAGGAGACAAATCGCATGGTAGCAGCAGAAATGGATGCAAGAGACAAATAGCTCTGTGAGCTACTGCTGACCAGGACTGTATTTAAAGTCTGGGCATCAATTAAGTCATCTTTAAACTCTGACAGTGCAGAACGTAAGTGTAGCCCATAGCTTCTGTTTTGTTCTGGCGAAGGCTCTGACTTTATATTTACCAGTCATATAACCTGAGTTACATTATATAATCTTCCTGAGCCACATTCCTCTGATCTATGGAAGAAGATTGCCTACCTCACTGGGTTAACAGAAGGTTAAATGAATGTGAAATAGTTTCCTGAATACCCAAGAAATAAATGTTCACTTGGTGGTAATGGTAATAATACCATTAATATGCCTCTCATCATTTGGGATACTTGTCTTTTCTTTCCCCCCTTTTCTTCTACATAGAATTTATAGTTAGTACTCAATGCAAACTTGATTCTTGGGAAGAAAGGCTACTAGAAGGGCACTCTTCCTCCAAAGGGAGGTAGGCAAGAGGGAAGGGGCTTGTACACCTGAGCTGGTTCCAGATGCCATTGCCTTTTGGAAAAAAAGTAAAATCCATTCTGGGTTAATGGATGATAGACGAAGGGATGGGATTTGCCCTCATTCAACTTCTCATTTCTGTCCTGGAGGTAAACTAAGCCTAAAGCTCCTCTGTGTCCTCCACATGTATTTCAGGCCAGTGAAATTCCCATGATGTAGCCAAAATGGTCTGGTGTCAGTACAATGGAAACAGTAAATGCATGAGCCAGGGCTCCAGTCTGGCTCTGTCAGCAACTTCCTTTGCTAGCCTTCAACCTCACACTCTATAACATTAGGCTATGCTTTCAGTACTGAACCATCTGTAGCCCAGGAGAAGTAGGCGAAGTGAGCAAAAGCACTCAGAAATAAGTGGCCTAACAGGAGCCTGAGCTTTAATCCTTATTCTACCATTGGCTTCTAGCTAATATCCTTCTGAACCTGTTTCTTTGTCTGGGGATGAGGATGCCCAACAAGCTAATCTTCAAATTCCTTCCTACCTTCCCTCACTTTAAGTTAACAGAAATAACAGTTCTCTTTCAAAAGTAAAGTGGCAGCTGGCCATCTCCACTGTGCTTACAGAGCTGGCCCCTCTGGGCCCCAAGCTTATTCCCACAGGGTCCTGTACACAAAGTCCAGGGAATAGGCCACCAACAGATTCCTTTTCTCTTCTCTGAGCCTGCAGGGAAGAGCCCCCAGGTAGGGGTGTGAAGATTTGGTAGAGCCTGAGATTTCCTTACCACCTCGTCTTCATCCTCCTCCTCAGGCTGGGCTTTGGGCCTTGGAACTTTCAGAATTGCCCCTTTAAATAGTTCATCCTCTTCATCCCCAGAGAGACTTAAAGAAAATCAAGTCACAGGAAATGTTAGTTTTTGCCCCAGGTCACAGCGCCCACCAGCTATGAGGATCATAGCCCTGAGACCCAATCTCTTCCTAACCTTGGGTTAGCCCTCCACAGTCTACAGTTACAGTCTCCAAAAACTAATAAATCAGACCCATCACTCTTCTGCTTAAATCCTCCACTAGGGTCTTGTACTCAGATAAAATCTAAGCTTTTACAGTGACAAAATATCACATATCTTGGTCCTTCTTAGTTTTCCAACTACAGCTTAACATCACTTGTCTCCTATTTCCTACTTCCTGTAATCCTCCTTTTCATTCGTCATGATGTGTGTCATTGTGTCTCATCCCCGTCTCTCACCCCCACTCCCAGCTTTTGCATGTGCTACTCTCTCTTTAGTCTTATTTTGTGGCTCTCAGTATGGATGGCTTCTTGTCCTTTTTGGATCACAGTATGAATATTACTTCCTCCAGTCCCTTCCCTAACCACCTATTTAATGCCGACTCCTCCTTCTTTGATGCTAGCACTGTTTCTTCTGTTAGTACTTTCCCTGCTGTTCTAATATGTAAATATGTATTTGTCTTCCCCTCTGGACTGTGAGCTCCTCAGACTCCTAAACCTTACCTGCTTTGCCCACTACCAGGGAGCCTGACACAGAGCCCTCTATGTAGCAGTTATTGCTGAATAAATGAATGAGTAAAATAGCCAGTGTCATTTGCCAACCCTGGAAAAAAGAGATGGCTTCTATAGACAGCCACCCTGTCCCTGCTGCTGTGCTCAGAGGAACATACCCACAGTGCTGAGAGTCAAGGCTGGGTCTCAGGGCTGCTCTTGCAGCTGGAGAAGCAAGCTCTACGCCTGACAGCGCCACACAAGGACCAGCAGAGGTAGCGACACCTTCATCTTCCTTGAGCTCTGGAGACTGAGGCTCTCCTCCTGGGCTTTCCGGGCCTAAGGCTGGTGGCTCTCCCTTCTCAGGGTCTGGAGTCAGTGACAATCTCCTGGAGCTTCCTTGTGGTGGGCTATCTGGGGCTACTTCCCTGACATGCACTTCTTCCAATGGGTTATTGGGCTGCACTGCTGTTGGGCCAGCAGGAAGTATCTCCTCACACTCAGAGTCCATAATTACAGGGCCTGGAGGCTCAGGCGGGACTGAAGTTGGGGGCCCCAGGACTCTGTGGGATGGAGTATAAGCTCGCTTAGGTGGAAGGGAACTGCTGTTGATTTCTGAAGGCATCTTTGCTTCTGAAGGCTCCTCTTTCCTTGTCTGCACATCATCTTGAGGTGTAGGGACAGCCTGTGGAGGCAGTAGAGTGGTCTCCCCTATTACGTGGTCTGATAGAACCTTGGGAGCCTCCTGCCTTTCCCCACTTGAGGGTGCTGGAGATAGCCCAGGAGTGGCTGGGTCGGGATGCTCCTGGGAAGGTCTCTGAGGTTCCTCCTCTTCCTCCTCACTGCTGCTCTCTCTTTGCTCTTCCTCCTGCTGGTTCAATAGCTGTAGAGTCACCATCTGTTCAAAAACCAAAGAGGAGATGAGCACCAAAAGAAGACAGCAGGCATTGATAGGTCTTCAGTCCTCAGAACCACAACTGCTCCCTAGTTCAGATGACTGTGCTTCTCCCTTTCAGAAGAGACTGCCACACCCATCCCATCACATATCATTTCAGGTATCTCTATCACTGCTGAATGGTCTTGAGTTCAACTTTTTGTCTTTTTGAGACAGGGTCTCCCTGTAGCCCCAGCTGTCCTGGAACTCACTATGTAGACCAGGCTGGCCTTGAACTCACAAAGATTCGACTGCCTCTGCCTCCCAAGTGCTGGGAATAAAGGTGTGCACCACCATGCCTGGCTCCATGTGTAACTTTTTAAGCATGAGGGCTTAGAAGGTAATTAAACAAAATACCCACTCCAAGGAAACAATCCACAGCTTCCTGGCTATACCTTGATTGTACTCATGATGGTCCCCAGAATGGTCCTGCCATTGTAAGATTCCTCCAGCTCAAACTCTCCCCTCAATGACTGGAATACCTGGTTCATGATCTTCTTGACCTGTGCCGAGATCAAAAATATATGCTACCAAAATCAGGTCATTAGGAGATACACCGAAATTTCAGTTAGAACTCTACAGAGGGATACTGCTGGTCAGGAATGGCAACACTGAGAGCTGCCACTGAGAAGAGGAAAATAAATGACAAACATGTTTTGACAGATGGGCTAGCCACAAGAACTCCCTGTCAGGAGCAGAACAAGCTATGGCATATGTTCAAAACTACTTAAAGACATTTTCTGATACTGTCTTCCAACTATGAGCACCACAGACAGCTGCTGTGGCCTTAGTCACAGGGATTAGTGCTGCTGGATTTTGGGCACAGCCTCATTCTCCAATTCTCCTAGGATTTAGGAGCACTTTCTGTATCTGTTGAAACCAGAAGAAGAGGGGTCCCTTTGGGGCTTGCTACCAGAATGATAGGTTCTAAAGGGTGAGGTTTTGTGTGTGTGTGTGTGTGTGTGTGTGTGTGTGTGTATGTTTGGTTTGGTTTTTAGTTTTTTTGAAACTGGGTCTCCCTGTAGCCCCAGCTGGCCTGGAACTCACTATTTAGACCAGGCTGGCCTGGATCTCACAGATCTGCTTGCCTTTGCTACCAGGTACTGGAACTAAAGGAATGCACCACTATGCCCGACTAAAGGGTTAGTGTTTAAGTCTGGCAAGTGGTGCATCAAAAAAATTAGAAGAAAACAGCCAACAAAACATGATGGCTATATGCTTTCTGAATTCCTGACCAGCACATTAAATGCCTTAATGTGATATGGTTTGCTGCTGCTTTGAAATGTCAGCTCACCTTCTCTGAGGGGTCAGCAGCATCTCTGCCCCTAGGCAGCTGGGACTTATTCCTCTCCAGTTGCTGGATATACTCTTCATTCTGTGCAGTGAGAGCTGTGACTTGGGCCTGGAGAGCTGAGCACTACAAAATGAACAGACTGGTTGTGGCCCTGGGAACCTGGATGACTGACAGCCAGAGAACCCACACAGAGAACCATTCTAAACATCAAGTCCTGATCTCATAGGTCTGCTGGGCTCAGCCCCTCAGCCCCCGCCACAGATCTGCTGATTCAGATCACTAATTCCTCATCACTCAGCTCAGCTTCATACTTCCTTCCCATCAAGGTTACTTGACTTGTTCCTAATCAGGTCAAGAATGTAATGAAAACAAGGGGTGTGGATAAGGGCACTAGTAACATACAAATAATCAGCAACCTATTCACCTACCATACTGCCACCATACCTCTGAGTCAAAGGGCTTCAACAAACTGCCCTCTAGGTAGGGGACTTTGATAGCATGACCCTAAGTCCTCTCCTAGCTCCCTCCTTTCCATACTCCAGGCTCTACCCATCTACTATACCACAGCTACTTGTCTTTGGCTCTGCTCAAAGGCCTCCTTTGGGACTCCTTCCCAGCTCCTCTAGGTACTTCCTCTTCTGGGCCTCACAGCACCTAACTGCTTATCTTTGTTTCTCATTCTTGACTATGAGAGTCTTGAGGGCAGAGTTCTGTTTGTATGCCCTTTCTCTAATACTGTGGCTGAAACACAACTGACACTATAAATATTTGCTTAGTGGATGAAAGATCAAATAATAACAGGAAGCAAGTCCCAGAACACTGGTGCTGTTTTTTTCTTTTTCCAGGTCACTGACTTGTCACCCTATATAAGTATGTAAAAGATAACTGACTAGAAGTTACACAAGCATGGCTGTGTTTTCTAGCTATTAATATCATCTAGGCTCAAAACAATGGACAAGAATCAAACAGCCTGAGGCCTTGTATTAACTAGGCTGCTTAAGCTCTCAGACTCAGGGAAAGAACTACCTTGTCCTGAAGGCATGACAGCTTCTGCTGGTGGGCATCTCTCTGTGCGCACACCTCCTGGTACTGCTGCAGGTGCTGATCCTTCGCAGAGGCCAGCAGATGCTCACACTTTGCTTCCCACTGGTTTTGGAGCTCAGCCTGGGCTAGAGACAGCTGCCAAGAGAAAGAATGGCCATGTATGTTGGGGGGACAGATGGTTCCTGCTGCAGCAAGGGAAGCCCATTCTCCTTAAGATGTTAAAGACTCTCCACCCATTTAGGTAGAAAATAACTGTTTGAAAGATTTTAATTACTTTGAAAGTAAATATTCCCTTTTTTCCCCCTTTCCTCCCTCCCCTCCTCCCCACCATGTACAGACACTCAAGCCCACACAGAGGATGGAGCTTCATTGGATGTCTATCATTCTCTGCCTTATTCCTTGAGACAGGATCTCTCACTGAACCTGGAATTTGGCTATCAACAAGCAAACCTCAGTAATCCTTTTGTCTCTGCTGGTCACATGTGGCCATACCCAACTTTTTACTTAGTGGTGGGGATTCATACTCAGGTCCTTGTGCTTGTGTAGGAAGTACTCTTACCTACTAAGCTATAGCCCCAGCCCCAAAGTCAGTGTGATTTTTAAATGTAGGAAGAAAGACATCATTGGTCATCAGGATTTCAAAAGTTTTCAAAAGATTTCAAAAAAGGTTTTCAAAAAAGGATTTCAAAAGCAGTCTGGAACCTTAGAGGACCCTAGAGTATAGGGAGGGCCATAAAGTAATCATTACTTTTTCAGTCCAGACTCTAAATTTTATAGATTCAGAAGCTTCTTTTTGCCAAAATTCCCAGATCAAATCAAGGGCACAGTGCATTCTAAGTAGAAGGACATACATACAGATTTTAAACCCAGAATGGGAATGGTTGCCACCAAAGGGACTAGAGATGGAGCTATGACCTGCTACTGTCCTTGGCATCCTTTTCTGATAAATGAATCTTTTCAAGAGTGACAATATGATTTGAGGGTGGTATCTGACAGCTGAGAACTTTGCATATTTGGATTTTATTGGTTGGCTAATGACTGTTTTCACTGTATAGCCCAAAGCTGGTTTTTATTTCACATAGTAACCCAAGCTAACCTTAAGCTTGCTTTGTATTTGCAATCCATCTACCTAAGTGCTGGGACTACAGGCATGTACCACCACAACTGACAGAATGTTTTTTGTAAAGAGATTTTTCTCCATACACACACAAATGAGTGTACATAAAATTGTGGAAGCTGAATAAGATCTGTCTAACAATGCTATGCTATTAATAGCAACAAGAAGAGGGAGCAGGAGAGGCAGCCCTGTGCTGCCACGTGAAGCTGGAATTCTTTTTTTTTTAAATTATTTATTTAATAACCATATCATAATTAGAAGAAGCATTTCATTACAACAGCATTGACATATTCAATAACAATTTCCAGAGCTAAGAAGCATCTCTTTCAAAATTGGTTGTAAATTTTTAGGTTTACAGTTGAATTGATACAGTTATACAATATTGTACTCCATATAACCCCTATAAGACATAAAATTAAATGAGGTTTTAAACTTTAAAAAAGATCTCCATTTCATTATTAAAATACAGTTTCATACAGAAAAATTCATTTTTAATACAATTGACACTACGATGCACATGTGATCTCAGGTGCAGAATTTTGCATGAGTGCCATCACCAGGGTGCAAAAATGTTTCTGTCACTAAGTAGAACTCTCTTGTACTGGTTAGTCACATCACTCTACCTCATCCCTGCCACCTGGCAACCATTAGTCTGCTTTCTATTGTATAGTTTTGTTACTTTGAGGGTGTTATTATATACATAGAATTGTGTGGTATGTAGCCTTTATTATTGTTGTTGCAGTTTTATATTGAACTAAACTTAATTTTTTAAAACTAAACACAGCTTTATACAACTTTTATAAAATGAAATTCAAGTCTTAGGACTAAGCAATGAGTCTCCAAAATCATAAAGTTGTTTGTAGCAGGAGTTAAAGCAGTGGTAATACTTCACCATTGTAAAAATGTCATAGAATCCAAATCACAACTGGGATTCTTAGTGAATCAAGTGTTTTGTCTTGCACAACACGTTTGGTCAGTTTTAAGATAAAATTCCTTTATACATGTTGAAAAAAAAAAGAGATTTTTCTCTATATTTTACTTACAAAATTCAATACTAACTAAACTTTCAAAGAGGAAAAGATTTTTGGTTTGCCTCTGGCTCTCCTGCATATATCTAGGTTACCTTTCCCATTATTCTCCAAGGTATCAGCTTTAAGAAACATCTTCCTAAACTGTAAAGTGGAAGCTAGAAGTTGTTCTGGGTCCTACACAACCTCCCTGTGTTTCCAGGGTGCTTCAGGCGCCCATTACCTGTTCTGCAGCTGCTTGGTCTGTGGACACTCGAGCCTTTTTCAAGAGGTGCCGAAGTTTGTCCAGTTCCTCCTGGTATGACTTTCGAATCTCCTCCATCTCCTCCTCGGCCTGGCAGCGCTCTTGAGCTGATCTCTTTTTCCTCTCTGAGAGGTTCTTAGGAACAAGAGAACTACCATCAATTCTAACTGGCTAACAGAGGGAAATGGGGACAGTGGTGGTCCCTGACTTCAATGGGTCTTTATTCCATTTCTGGAAAAGGTTCCTCTTTTAGATTTTTTCCTTTATATTTTCCCCTTTATATTTAATATCCTTGCTACTGAGTGAGATAAACCATGACAAAGAGAAGGCAGACAACAGATTTAATACCATTCTTTTAAGTGCTGGGAACATCCTAACTTTGGTGCAGGTACCAGAAAGCAGAAACATCTTGCTAGTGAGAAACTAAATGGACATACTCTCTTTGGATGGTAATTCTGTGAAACTCTACAAATTGTAACTTCTGTTAAGAAGCAGTAAGTCATATTCATAAAGACTGTGTTACAAGATAGCCACTGCAATGGTATCTATAAGAAGGAAAAGCTGAAAAACAGCTCAAAGATCAGAAGGAACTGGTTTAAAAAACAAACAACAACAACCACAACAACAACAAAAACTCCAGACTAGGGAGATGGCTTAGTGGGTAAACCACTTGCTACATTAAGTGGTTCAAACCCTCAGAATCCATCTAAGACCAGACATGGTCTCAAGGTTCCTATGGCAAGGTAGGAGGTGGACAAGAGCATCCTTGGAAGCTCGAGGGCCAGCTAGCTTGGTGTATAGCCCAGTGAATAAGAGACCCATCTGAGACAAACTGGAAGGTGAGTACTGACACCTAAGGTTGTCCTCTGACTTCCACACATGTGGAGTCTCTGTCTTTCTTTCATACATACACAGATAAAGTATTTTTTTTAAAGGACTAAGAATGTTAAACACTTGGTTTATTTTTATTTTTGTGTATAAGTGTATTGCCTGCATGTATTTGAGTGCACCCATGTGGTGCAATGCTGCGGAAGTCAGAAGAGGGCTTTGGATTCCCCTGGAACTGGAGTTAAGGACGGTTCGTAGCCACCATGTGGGTGCTGGGAACCGAATCTGGGTCCTCTGCAAGAGAAGTCAGTGCTCTTAACTGCTGGGTCATCTCTCCAACCCCCAGATAAAGTTTTGGTTTTTTTTTTTTTT